GTAGCCAGGGAAGATGGGAGTTGTAGTTCAGCAACATCCAGGGGGCCAAAGTTTCTCCACACCACCTAATGCATCCATAAAGACCTATTGCATTCTGACTATATTTCCTTTCCAAATATGCTTAAAGATGTTTTCAAATTAGATTACCTAGGTGAACACAGCCCACCAGATTTATGATAAAGCTAAAGCAGCAACATAAGAGCTAACGTAGGACATAGAAACCTGGTTATAATATTTGCTAATCTTTATTTCTCTTCCAACTAGGAGCAGCTCTGCAGAGGGCTAGGCATGTTAGTCTCAACAAACAGCCTTGTTCATCTTAAGGACTAACAAATTCATTCTGACATAACCTTTGATGGTCTGTAGTCGGGCAGGGATGTTTTACGTCACCTGCATCCTTTTAAAATAGAGATTGTCAGGATTGAACTTGGGACTGTTTGCATGGAAAGCTTGTGCTCTATGGTCCCTCACCAATAGTATAGTGGCCAACCAACTCAACTCCAAATCAGGAAGCTTTGAATCTCATATCAACCCCAAACACCCTAGAATATCTCAGTCAAGTCCCTGTCACTCTGTTTCAGACCCTCCTCCGTCATCAAAATAGGAATAAGAGCAATGGCTTACCTTGCAGGGGCTGGGGCTGGTAACAATTGCAAGTGTATGCGTTCTGAAATCCATAGTAGGACAATAACTTTATTAGGCCAACCGAAAGGTCACATATGGAGCCACAACTTTTCGTCAGGTTAAATGGTCCAAATAACAAGGGGTGGGAAAGGAAGAAAGGTTAGCTGATGGTGAAGCCAAGGAGTCAAAGTGTCTGCTCACAGTCTCTCAGCATGGCATGTGGGAGGAGGGGCAGACATTCACACGAGGCTCTCTGTGATGTGCTATTCAGGTTAATCCATGTAAAAGACTGTGAACTTGCTTGGGTCTTCAAAAGCAAGAGGTGCTGGTCAAGGAGACTAGTAGGCCACTTTCTGGTGAGCTGCATTCAGCGTAACAGGCCACATGCTGTGCATGCCTGCTTTAAACCTTACCAGATATTAGCACAGATCCAAACAGAATTGCAAGGGGAAAGCAAGAGGGCAAGGCACATGGGCATAGCAAGTCAGTAATTTTTGTTGGGGGTGGGGTGGGGCAGAACCTCAGTTTGTTAGGTACAGTGGTTAAGAACTTAATTGTTCTGGAGGTCCGTTCTTAACCTGAAACTGTTCTTAACCTGAGGCACCACTTTAGCTAATGGGGCCTCCCGCTGCCGCTGCGCCACCGCCGCACAATTTCTGTTTTCATCCTGAAGCAAAGTTCTTAACCCGAGGTACTATTTCTGGGTTAGCAGAGTCTGTAACCTGAAGCGTCTGTAACCTGAAGTGTCTGTAACCTGAGGTACCACAGTATTTTTATTTATTGGGGGGGGGAGCAGCCCCTTTCTTCCCCTCCTGGCTACGTCCATGGCAAGGCAACTCCTCTGCCATGTAAGATGATGGCAGTGCAGCCAAGGTTCCCCAGGGACAGGCAACTTTCACTCCCAGGAGATGATGTTTGTGCGCACAAGGATTGCTAGGAAACAGCTTCACCCTGCAGCAAAAGCTCATCTGAACAACCCTGTGGCAAAAAGAAATGAGAATCCGGTGCTAAAAGAGGTAGTTTAAACAGTTCTAGCAGCAGGGGGACCCAAATGCAAACTGAAGTTGTCATCTGTTATATTCTTTCAGCCGCATCAGTGCTAAGAAAGATTCTTGGGAAGCAAACTCTTGTTAAAATTCCGCCTCCAAAAATAAAACAAGGACTGGGAGCTGCTTCCCTGCCTCAAATGGAGATTTCCTTCTGTCTGTCCCACCATATTTTCCCAAGAGAGAACACTGGATCTTCCAGTGCAATGCACTTAAACTCAAAGGTGGTTGGTTATTTTGTTTTGTTTCAACGACACATATTTATGTGAATACAGTGATGTATCGCACAGTGGCTGGGAACTAAGGAGCCCCTGATTCAAACCGCAGCTCAACTAAGTGGCTTGAAGCAAGCCATCTCCCTCCCAGCCTCTCTCCTCCCTTCTGCAATATGGGGATGTTGATGTTCGTCAGGCATCTTCATTGTACTGTTTTCGGCAACTTTAAAAAACTCTTTTGTTTAGATGTGTCAACCCAAACATGCAATTTTATTATGTATGTTTGGTTTTATCTATATTTTGATATTTTATTATGTCTACTGTTTTTAAATTATGCTTTTATTGCTATTTTTAAAATTAAAATTGTAAACTGGTTAGAAATGGGTTTTTAAATGTGAAGAATATAAAACTTTCTAAAGAATAATGCCAGCTTTCCTCCCCCCCCCCCCCGGACTACTGTAACCATTACTGACTTGTTTTGAGCACTTGAAATGCACTATATAAATATTATTCATTCATTCATTATTTTCAATAAAACAGTTGGATGGAGAAATTTTGTCAAGGAAACCTGAACCTGAGGCATTTTAACAACAGATTCAGAATGTTTTGTGGTGTACCTCTCATTGTGCATATACCGCATGAGCACGTAGCACAATCTTCATGCCCTGTTGAGATGTCATGCTCTACACTCAAGCTGACACACTTTCCCGCTACACTGAAGTGTGACCTAGAGGAATATTTGTGACATTTAAAGTGACTCTTAACTGACGTTAGCTAAGAAGGAGCATCGCACACTTATCTAGATAAAATGATTAGGCCATATATCATTTCCTACACTTTCAAAGCTCTAAATGGTTGTCCTCTCTAGATAAGCAGAATCCCCTGCCAAGTCTGCCTGAAACATTAGCAACCAGGGCTGCCCCCAATTTTGATAGGACTTGTTCCATGTCCATAAATCTGGCTGAATTATAGCCCTAAGGGAAAGCTAAAGATAAGATCCAAACTTTAGTGGCCTGGGGGGGGGGAACTTTTCCTGACCTTTCTGTATTGCTGGCAGTGCCCTCTGTTCTAATGAGAAGCCACCATATAGACGTGCTGCTATAAACACTGACCTTGGAACAGCTGCAGCATTTACAATTAGATGTAGAAAGATCTGAAGCAAACTGGAGCACAACCTTCCCCTCAGCTGTTGCTCATTGCAAGAGAAGACAGGCGATGGGAGAGCAGAGTGGGAAGGCCATTCTCTGGGGGTGACTGGCAGGCTAAGAGGTCAAGCCATCCTCCATCCTCACAAGAGAATGCAAACGTGGGGAGAAAAGGAAGCCTCGTCCTGCCAAGTTCACTACCCCCTTTGATCCTAAGAGTAACACACAATATGCAAAAGTAACTAGCCAGCCAGAATAGAGCTCAGCACCCCTGCCTCTCTGGGATAGCCACACATGATGTAGACGGAAAGCAGGCTGGTGGAATAAGTTTGGCAGAATCTTGCCCACTGACAGTGCAGTCCAACACATGTTTTCAGTGGGGACGCGGGTGGCGCTGTGGTCTAAACCACTGAGCCTCTTGGGCTTGCCGATTGGAAGGTTGGCGGTTTGAATCCCGGTAATGGAGTGAGCTCCCATTGCTCTGTCCCTGCTCCTGCCAACCTAGCAGTGTGAAAGCACACCAGTGCAAGTAGATAAATAGGTACTGCTGTGGCAGGAAGGTAAACGGTGTTTCCGTGCACTCCTGTTTCTGTCACAGTGTTCCATTGCACCAGAAGTGGTTTAGTCATGCTGGCCACATGACCCAGAAAGCTGTTTGTGGACAAACACCAGCTCCCTCGGCCTGAAAGTGAGATGAGCACCACACCCCCATAGTCGCCTTTGACTGGGCTTAACTGTCCAGGGGTCCTTTACCTTTTACTCTTTAGTAAATTTGTTTAGTTTGTAGCCCAATCTCATTTCTTTCTAAATATGGTTAGGGCTTGGAAGCACAGACAACAGCTGGAAATTTTTCATTGTCATCTACCATAGCGAGCTGCCCCAGAATTTATTTGTTTAACCGCTTGCCTGGGGTGAATATTTTGACTCACTCCAGCAAAATATATTGGCTGTGCAATTCTATGCATATTTACTTGAAGTTAAGTCCCACTGTGTACAGTGAGACCTAGTCGCAGGTAAGTGTGTATAGGATTGCAGCTTAAGTGATGGATATTGGGGGGGGGGGGGGAAACAAATCCTAATTTCACATACACACTGCTGGGGGCTCAGCTGGTGATGACCGACCAGGAAAGAGATCTTGGCATTGTGGGAGACAGCCGAATGAAATGCTGACCCTGTGTGTGACAGCTGTGAAAAGGTTGAATTCCATGCTAAGGATCATTGGAAAAAGAATCAAAACTGCCAATATCGTAACTCCTTTTCCAAGTAAGGTTGGGAAAGATTTCTGCCTGAAACCCTGGAGAGCTGCTGCTAGTCAGTGTGCAGACAATATTGATTGAGATGGACCAGTGGCCTGAAGTGGTATAAGGCAGTTTCCCATCTTTGGGGCATTTGAACTTAGAGGGGGGAAGATGAGGGAGAGAGGACATGATAGAGGTTTGCAAAACTACACATGATGTGGAGAGAGTGGTGCTTTTCTCCTCTCCAGGAGAACTGATCAGTTGAAAATTCAGAGCAGACACTTTAAATACTTCTTTTACACACTGTATAGTTAAGTTGTGGAATTTGCTGCCACAGGGTGTGTCAAGCACCTCCACTTTAGACGGCTTCAGATAAAACATGGAGGTTAAGGATATCACTGGCTACTGACCATAGTAGCTATAGGCAACATCTAGGATTGGAGACAGCATACCTGCACAACAGCAGAATAATGTTTCTGGACCACAGCAGGAGAACACTACTGCCCTCATGCCCTGCTCTTGGATTTTCTATGCTTGCCCACTATGCAAAAACAGGATGCTGGACTAGATAAGCCTTTGATCTGATCCAGCGGGGCTCTTGTAAACTTAACATTACCCACACCAACAAAACCCTTGTAAAACATTAACCTCGGGGATGTTTCTGTTGAACACATTCAGGTTCTCGGCACACCAAATCTCCAGTCTGTTTTGCTTGCAAAACTCATACAATCAGATGGTGAAAGGAGACATCTTTAATTCAACTTTCCTACAAATAAACATCTCATATATGTCCCTTCAAAAAAGAAGAGAAGAGAGACCCAGTCACTGACCACTAGAAAGATACATACAGTGAGCATTCATATTAAATGGGGCCCTTTGTCTATCCAATTACTCCCCCACCCCAATTTTCTCCAGTTGTTACTTGTGGAGCCTTTTCTTTTCTTTTCTTTTTTGAAGGGTCTCTTCTTTCATCATAAAACGTTCCTTGTATAAAAACCTTATATATACACATATGGATGGATGCATTATCCAATGCAATTGTTGTGCCAAACTCGGAGAAGTGCCACCTTAGTTGTCAAGTTTCTAGAATTCGAACAGTTGTCTCTTGAACAGCTGCATTTGTGTAAGCCGGGAGGGCAGGTGGCCTGTGCTAGTCGCTTGCCACTCATCACCATGCTGAAGACTGAAAGGTCTCTCCATTTAAAAAAAAAAAAATCCCAAACGTGCCTAGGAGTTTAGAATTCCTTTCTGTGTTTCTACAGTGGAAAGGACAACAATCCCATTTACAACATCTGAATATCTTCTCATGCTGCTTTGAAAAAGGACTGTGGAGGTGTTTTTGTTTTTTGTTTTTTTAAAAAATGTCAGTCAAAAAGAAAAGTCCATGCCATCGTGCCGGCAGCAAACACATTTTGCTTCCTAAAGTCAGCAATTTCAAAGTCCTTCTTTGTTCATCTTGATTCTTTAGAATGGCCTGGCCACTGTTCATGGATGAGGGTGCCCAACCCCATCATCACCCCATCATCATCTTAGGTCCTGTTGGTTGAAAGTTGAAGTCTAAGCAGCTTTTAACTCCCACTGAATTGCCCGTCTTCTTGTCCTTGAAATGTGACACGAGATACTGAAAGATGGAGGGGGACAAAGAAGATGGAGTTGTGGGGTGGTTGGGAACGCTTTAGAATCAGCAGTTCAGCTCAGGAGGGATCCACCACAGAAGGAATAACGGCGAGCTGTAAACCAAGATCAGAAGCTGTTACAAATCGACTCGATTCAGCTCTGTCACCACCAGTCCTACTTAGGCAGAGATCTGACTAGAGGGGAAGAAGAAAAGGTGGAAGGGCAGGTCTAAAACCAATAGAGGTCCTTGCTTTTATCCTGAGGCTGTAAACCTGAGAACAGAGAAAAGAGAGAGAGAGAGAGAAAGAGAAAATGGAAATAAAATAAAACAGAAAAGGGGGAGGAGTATAAATATATAAGGATGGGGCAGGGGTGGGGAAAGACAACTACCACCATTTTCTTGAAAGGGTAGGTAACCTATCTAAAAGCATAGTAATGCACTCTCGAAATAAAAGGAAAACCCAAGTTCAAATGGATAGCTTCACAAGAGAATTTAGGGAATCCTGGTGGAAATCCGCTTTTGGCACTGTCCCTCACCTTTAGTTCCACATCTGTAAAAATGGGCACTTGGAATTGAATCAAACATTTTCTAAACAGAGAGGTGACTTGACTATAAACTAGGCATTAACAATGGGTTGCCATGATGAGCCCTCACAAACACAAAGAGCTCACCCTACTGGCTTATTAAGAGGATGGTGACAATTTAGAAAATTATACAATAGAGCTCAAGGACAGGAGCAACTCCATAAAAATACACATTAGGGGAGCAGGGGGAAGTGGGAAACATTTGGAGGGTGAGCACCTGGACCCATTGTTGCTACCCCTTGGAGTCATCCCTGCTTGGGGAATAAATGCAACAGAGACTCACAAGAGATGTGACCAGTTTTATTTACAACTAGGCCCCTACAGGGATAATTGGTTTCACCCTTAGTCTTTTGAATTGTAGAATCCAGAATTCTTTCCTTAGAGAGAGAAAGAAAGAGAGAGACAAACACACAGAGAGAGAGATGTTACCTAAGTTTGCACACCCACTAAACTAAAAATAAAAATAGTAATATCTGTATTTCATGGAAAACACATAGTAGACATCTCCTCTAACAAGAAAACATATTCTCTTTCAAGAATTTGATAAAGACTGAAAGTTTCTTGAGGAAAGGTTATGTTCATTTTGTAAACATACTCCCTAAGATAGTCGTGGATAACTTTTGGACACCGAGGGCTGAATAATAAGTTGCATCAAGGAATACTTGAACTTGGGCTCTCTGGTGTGTTTCCTGATATCACAATCATATTACCTATTTTTCTCAGTTTGCCTGTATCAGTGGCTTCAAGTGAGCCCACCTATGATGTGTTGAAGCAGCTACAGAACTATCACCATTCAGCTACGGGGCAAGAGTGTTTGCATGGATATGCTACACTTAATATCACTGCACGAAAGCTAGATTTTTCTTCTTGATAATTACAGCATTTTTATTTATTTTTTTGCAGAAAGGCAAGAAAAGCACCTGTTAAGTTTAGAAATAAATAACTCAGTTTTATGTCTCACTCTGTTTCTGTTTGGTGCCTTACTTTGTTTTCATGTGTCGTCATTTAAATTTTTTTATTATGGCTAAGGACCTCAAAAGCTGGAAATGGCCCCCGCCTCCCTGGACCTCTGAGAAGGGCTGGGGGCAGGAATTGTATTCTATTACTGTTCATTTTGTTATTTGCATTTATTTGGGGTAGAGCAAGGGGACCTTGCTGATGATGAACACACACACACACACACACACACACACACACACACACAATTCAGAATGTGAGAAAAGGGTGGATGGACAGAAACAGAAAGCTACACCTGCCAGGCCTTACCTGTGTCCACATTGAGGCCTAAACTCTGTGCCATTTCCCCTGCAGGACTGGCGAAAGGTGCTGGCGTTGTCCACGCTGAAGTGGCAGGCTCACTCTTGCCCAGCTCGCACGGAGGGCTGACGGGCGTGGGCACTGAGGCGGGCGTGAGGCGGTGGGGGCGCACGGAAGCGGCGGGCACCAGCAGGGAGCCGTAGCGAGGGTCAAAGTGAGGGCCGTAGACCTCATGCACAGCGGTGGGTCGAGGGTAGGCTGAGCTCTGTGTTCCAATGTAAGGGTGGTGGTGGTGGTGATGGTGGTGATGGGCAGGGTGCCAGGGCTCCGGGGGCCCCTGGTGGAGGTGACTGTGCAGCGAGCCTGGAGAGTAAGGGTCCGCTGTGGCAAAGGGCAGTTCGCTGTGGGCAGTGGCTGACAGTGGGCTGCCCAGGGACGCAGGCACTGAAGAGGGCTGGTACGTGCTGTTCCAGAAGGAAGGCGGGAAGCTGCGTTGACTCATGGGGAATGATCCATCTAACAAAGGAAGGTGGAGAAGGACATCAGAGCCACATCAGAAAGGTGTGATGTCCATCCATTCCGTGAACCACAAGGACTCCTACTGATAAGGCATGTGCTTTCTAGATAAGCATCCTTCCTGTAACCTGTTTCCAAGGCAAATTGCTCCACCTAAAGGGTCTTCAGATTAGCCCCTCTCCTGGACTTTCACCCTGGCCATCAACCTCTTTTTCTGATTCAGATCAAGAATAGAAGGGTGCTCTCCAAAAAAAGAGTCCCTTGAATTATAAAGGCCAATGCCGTTTTTACCAGTGATGCTTTTAATAGGCAATTTCAATTGGTCAGCTGTAACCATGACTAAGAGCTCATTCACACTCATCCTTTTGCTCCACACTTTCTAGGAAAAGGTCCTCATTTTAAAGCTCTGTGTTCAAGCACTCCCTCTCCCACTACTTACCTCGGGGAAACCTGCTCTTTAATGCTGAATTGGGACAAACAGCAATTCAGGTTTTCTGTGGATTGCTGTTTGGTCCAATTCAGCGATGAAGAACATGTTTTTGTGGGGAAAGCGCTGGGCAGGGGAGCACTAGAACAAGAAGCTTTAAAGCATGGACCTGTGTTTAGCAACGTGGCACAAAAGGAAGTCTGGATGAGCTGATTCAACCTGATTTGTTTGTGGAGAGATTAGGCCACATCAGCTGCTTGATGAGCATTCGCCTTGACTTTTCTGTGGTGAGATTGGATGATGTTGCATCAAGCCACTGTTATCCCACAGAGTGCAATCCCCAGCCCATTTCCTCATTGTAAAAAGTCGGATATCGTGGGGAAGTGGGTTTGTTTCACAAAAGCTCAGAATCAGCTTTAACTGCACAACCTGAATTTGCTGGTATGCAATTGAAAGTCTTAAGTTTAGATGGAACCCTAATGTTGATTTTTACCCTTGCATCATGTAAAGCCTCTGTCAAAATACAAAATAAGCATTAAAATCCACATTGGCTAGAATGTCCAACCAAGACCCTAGAAGCACGTTAAAAACTAACCAATTTATTATGGCAAAAGTTTGTGTGGATCTTAGTCCATGTCGTCAGGTACATGAAGTGCAGTTTTATTTGGCAGATACACATAGGAGTAAAGGGACATGGAGAGTAAAGTTTGGCATTAAATTGCAGTGAAATGCAAGACGCAAGCTGACAATCTATTGATTTACGTTAAGTTAGTCATCATGTCCATTGATCTCAATGGGTCTACAGCGATGAGGACTGAGGATAGATACATCCCATTTTCTGTGGCAATTCATTCAGAACTGAAATGGAATGATCATAGCTTGCTTTTTATGTTCCATTGTCACTTAACTCCATCCTTTACATCCATTTATATATCTTTATTGAAATTAGCTGAATTGTAACATGAGTTTACTTTTGTATTCTGTCCGGCATTAAGATTGGTTGAATAATATGACATGAGCATAGATGAGCTGTTTGGTGTCTTGTGTCAAAAGGAAATATATTCTGCACTTTCCTAACTAAAAAGTATTACTGGCATCTTTCAAAAAATAAAATAAAAATGTCTCTAGTCCTCCAGAAACTTAACTCCACCCTGGTGAATCTTTTTAAAGAGAGAGCGCACTGAATGAGCCAGATGAACACTGAACCCTTGATTCCAGAAGAGATCCACACTGTGAGCAGCCCATGATTCTCAAGAGCTCATAAGCAATTTGATTCCCACAGAGCAACAGACAATCTCAGCTGTCAATGAACCTTGAGGCAGATAACAGAACCCTAACAACATCTGATCTCAAGAGATTATCCTTGGGATTATTCTCACAGAATCCCATAGTGATAAAATCTAAATTACACTCTACACGCTCTTTTTAAAAAAATGTGTTAAGTATACCATGGGGGGGGGGCGCATCTCATGCAGCCACCACAAGGATCCCATCTGGTTGCAGGATAATCACTGGCTTTAACCAAGGACACCTTGAGAGCTTCATGAGTAAGCCGGGGTTTAGATTTCTCATGACCAAGTCTCAACATGGAAGATCTGCATTCACCGTAAGGTCATGAGGGAGCTTGCAGATCTCTCTCAAATAATACCCTTGCAACTTAACTATGCTTCATTATAGGCATGGTTCTCACCTATTTTTATTTTTTTAAAAAACAGGGCGGGAAGACGCTTTGCGCCTGCGATCCCTCGGAAGCAAGCCCCGTGGAAATGTTTCTGAAGAAGCATGGCTAAGATCAGGCTGCAGCTCGAGACAACGGCATCCTCTGTGTATCCAAAACAACCCTTAGCGGCTCCTCGGGCGTTCAAATCGCGACCAAAGCAATCGCTGATCAGAGCAAGTGCTTTCCTACCAGGGCTACCCTGTAAAATATTCGAGTACGCGGGAAAGTCGCGGAACTTCTTTAAGAACAAACGTACAGCGGATCGTGTCCCTTAGCTACTGGCTTCAGGCAGAATTATGAGTGTCTGGGGCCGAGGTGACACGCTGCGTCCTGTAAGCCCCTATTTTTGGAGGGCTGCTGCGGTCCCACGGAAGCGCCCTTTAGAGTCACAGAGTCTGCCATGGACTCCTTTCTCTCTCTCAGCCCTTCTAGTCGCCAGGAGGCATTTGAATGGGGATCGGGGCCGAGCGGAAAGGATTAAGCGGTCCCTGGGATTGGGTTCCCAGCTGGTGCTGGACTACAACTCCCATCATCCCTTGGCCACCGGTCATTCTAACTAGGGGTGATGGGAGTTGTAGTCCAGCAACAGCATGGGACCCAAGCTGGACTTAATGGTGGTGGAGCTCTTCCAGAGGGTAACCTGCCTATCACTTCGCTAAACTTACTTCCCAAAGTGGGGAAATCAGATCTGCTGCGTCCACGGACCCGCCTGCTCATCCCACTGACCGGGACCCCCGCTGGATCTCTGCTCCGAAGTGTTGCCCTTGACCGCACGGCTGCTCCCCATAAGGCTAAGGTTCGAGATTTTGCAAGTTTTCCAAGGGCGATTTTTGCCCCACTTTTTGCGCATTGCTGAAGGGCGATGCAGAAGCGCACTAAAGAAGCGAATTTGCACTTCCGATCTGGAAAACCCCAGGGCTTGCTCGAGCAAAGTGGGGTGGGAGCATGAGAGTCTCGGGATCGTGGGTTCGAGCCCCACGTTGGGCAAAAGAGTCATACATTGCAGGGAGTGGATTAGATGGCCCTCATGGCCCCTTCCAACTCTACAGATCCTTTATTATTCTAACTAGCCGGGGAAACAGAAGTTGGACCCCAGTGGAAGCATGTTTACTTCGAGAGACTGATGCCTGAAAAGAATGGCTATTCGGAAGTAATTCAGTGAGGGTCGCTCTCAGGTATGGGGCTGCGGCCTGACTTTGGGACTTCTGCGTAAACGTCTCTAGAATGGTGAGGTCCGCATTTAAACAAATATTGCTGAATTTCGAGATTTCTCCTTTTCAGTAGCTTGCTTCCTGGCTGCTGTGACTGTGCTTTGATAAAAACAGGAAGATAGTGTCCTGGAATACAGCGTCCTGGATTTTGCTGTCAAGTTGTTGGAAGGTATGATATAGTTGCCACCTTGAGTTCCCTGCAGGAAGAGTAGCATTTGTTGGGGGGGGGCAGAACTTCAGGTTTATATTGATTGGGGGTTAGCTGCCCCCCCAGGCTACGCCCATGGTGTCATACTCCGTATTGATTTTTGGAGAGCATCACCCAGCGTATCCAGAAATGCCCCAGCCATCTCTTTCTTCCCCAGAAAATGCCATATACTGCGGTGCAGTATTTCAGAATACAGGCAGCATTTTTTAAAAAAGAAAAGAAAAAGAAAAAAGGTTATGGTAGTTGAGAATTAATTGCCAATTTTAAAGATTTGCCTCTTTCTAAAAAAAAAAAAAGCAATTAGTTATCACACTAATTAGAAATAACTAAGATAGCAATTAGTTATTACTGTTCATTACCCTGTCCGCTTATAAAAATGATTAAAAACCCAGCAAGATCCATGAATCGAGAGTGAATGCGTGTTCTAAAACCCAACTTTTTCTCTCTCCCAGAAGTCGTTGCTTGGCATCATCCGGCCTAGTCAAAAAAGCCAAAAAGGTGGAAAAAGGCGAGGGGAGGCCCCATTATTAAACAAAACGCCTTGGAATCGAATGGAGAGGGAATGAGACCCCTAGTCTGTGACTCCGGCTTGTTAAGTACTTGAATTTAAGGGGGCTGTCCTAAGCGCACATATTATGGGGGTACCTTTCATTGCTGAACAATTCCTTCAGAGTGAATGTACACATAACTGTGCCGTTAGCCCGTGCAATTCTACACTTGCATTTACTCCAGAGTCGGCGAATTCAATGGGATTTCTCCTCCGGTAAGCTATGTGCCACAATTCCAGAGGATTCCAGACAGGAACACCCGCTGCTGCAAAAGCATTCCTACAACTATTTAAAATCACTTACTTTCTGTATTTTTGCTTCAGGGTCGCCTTATTTCTACAACGCCAGGAACCAGGACTTAAAAAGCATTAAGTAATATTTGGGGGACAAAAAAATTATTTGCTCTCTCCAAGTAGCCTAACAGGTTTGGAGATGAGGCGGCTACGTTTTGCATCCCACGTCTTTTTATTCAGAAGTAAATGGTATTGCATCCCATTGAGTTTCATCTCAAAAGTGTTGTTTGGGGGCTTTTCCTTTGCCTTTATCGGGCAGCTTGGATTTTTCGTTTCTTAGAGCCTCGGAAAGAAAACCCCGTTCTTAAATGTGCGATTTGCGCACCTGGAAAACCCCAGCCTCTCTCCCCATCCGGCCCCTCCCTCGCCTTCTGCGTTGCCGGATTCGTTTCCTTTCCCCATTGAATTAAGACGCTCCCCCCTATCTACCTCCATGCGTTTCCCTTATGTCCCCTGTCCCATGTCCGCGGCCATTACGGGGCGGAGTGTCTGTTCGTCAAAGGGGACGGTCTCTTGCTGCGACCTGTCGCCTCCCGATCGCTCTTTAGAGTGAAGAATATTAATCCCGAAATTAACAGTCCCATGCAATATCCCTTTTTAAAAAGGAATTTGATACTACGATCCTGTGATCTCTCTGCCTAGAAGTAAACCCCCATAGAGTTCAGAAGAGCTGCTTCCAGGGTGAAAACGGATAGTTTTGCAAGGTCTCTCTCTCTCTCTTAATTATATCAATGTTTAATTGGTTTTTTTTTAAAAAAAAATGCTTCCCATGTTTTGAACTGTTCTTATTTTTATCTGTAAACCGTCTTGAGTCCCTGGTCAGGGGAAAATACGGGGTATAAATAAATATACTGTATTGTTATAATAATAAAATTCCTTCCAGTAGCACCTTAGAGACCAACTAAGTTTGTTATTGGTATGAGCTTTCGTGTGCATGCACACTTCTTCAGGAAAGCTCATACCAATAACCTAGTTGGTCTCTAAGGCGCTACTGGAAGGATTTTTTTAAATTTTGTTTCGACTACGGCAGACCAACACGGCTACCTACCTGTAACTAGTGTTATAATAATGTTACTGATCTGCATGTAAATTGTTAGAGAGCAACCCAGCCACGTGTCCTCCTGCAATAAGTCTTGTTTTCTTGTGTTCAGGTTGTTTTTTTAAAAAAACCCAATAACCCCAAAATCACCATCCTCCTCCCGCCCCTGTTCCTTTAACAGCTGCTTGATGTGCAGGAATTAACAAGCGCCGCTTTTCGCCGCCGAAAGAGAAACGGAATCCGCTGCTAATTGCTGCAGCTCAAGCGGCGGCTCACGGCGCTGGCGCGGCCCAAGCCTCCGGCATGCTGGTCTCGCTCGCCCGGGCGCAGACGCTCCAGCTTGTTTCTCCCTTCCCCCAGTTGCGCTCCCGGAGGGGCTGCCGAGATTTTCTTGACAACGGCCTCTCGGGGGCCACAAAGGGCAGGGCAGCCCTCTGCCCTTCTCGGCCCGGCAGCTGCGCCAGGGAGACCTTGCTGGGCCATTTGTTTTGTCTTTCTGAAATTCCGGCAGCTGAGTTCCCATCGTCAGGGATTTTTGGAGTTTGGCAGGAAAGGGGGTAAATTCATTTCTCCCCTCCCTGTGAAAAGTTTAGCCCTGTAAATTCCAGAAAGTGGAATAATAATAATAATGCAAACTTTGGAAATGTACAAAGAGGTAATGCTAAAATTTTGAACTGGATTAAACTTGTGTTTTCAAAACTACACACTTTTTGATCCCATATGTGTGAGCAGCTGCCTTGGATTGAGCCGAACTTTTGGTCCAGCTAGATCAGAATCGTCCACAATGATTGGCAGAGACTCTCAATTCAGACGAGGGACATTCACAGCCCTACCTGGGGATTTGACCTTCTGCGGGCAAAACAGGTGCTCTACTAGCTACCATTGCACTGCCAGAGAGGGTTTAGTTGCAAGCAGGTTATTGAGATAAATGGGATGCTGGCGCTTTTTTAAAAGAAAAAAGGAAAAAAATACATAAAGGCAAATGGAAAGGTTGGATCAAGATTAAATTGAATAACGCATGGACTGGCATGTCAAAGGTGACACGGCAACCTCAGAAAAAAATGGATGCAGGGAGAGTACCCACCCCAAAACAAATTCCAGTGTGGATGCACCCCTAGCCTGTTTTTTAAAAAAATTCTACCTCTCCTATATAGAATAGAATTCTGTAATAGAATTCCCTTCTATTCATATGCATAGAAGTTCATGGACCTACAGGACTATTCAAAACACATCATACACAACCCACCTTTTGCAGTGGAAAAGATTTAGGCTGTAATCCAGGAAGTAAACCTCACTGAACTCAGTGGGGCTTCCTTCTGAGTAGGGTTGCACTGCCAAACAGCACAGAACATGGGGCTCCTGTGCCTTTAAGAGTTGTATAGATGAGGGTACTCCAGCAGATGTAGCTATAGGTATCTGGTCCTCCAACTCCCATTGACCCCCATGGCCAGGCAAGCAGCTGGTTTTGCCACTTTGTATTTTTACCAAATACAGAAGTGCGCTGCAGGATCAAACACAGCCTTCTTGTTCAGCATCTCTCTTCACACAGTGGCTGACCAGATGCTTGCTATCAGAAGGCCACATGCAGAGCACGAAGGCAGAGTCCCCCCCCCCCCCCGCAAATAGTTGCAGTGATATACTGTGTCTGAATATGGAGGCTTCATATAGGTTTCACACACTTAACTGTTCTATTAAGATCAGTAGGGTTTAGAAGAGCCTAATCTGACCTGGCCCACGTCCTTTACTCGGAGCATTCAATGCATCTAGTGTTGGGAATCTGATAATAATACTTTTTTGTGGCTCATTGCTTCCTTCCCCCACTGTTTTGGAAGCAAGGCACAAAAGATGAAATATATGCCCCTCATTGCTTCCAATTAAAGTTTGTTTGTGGATTCTTGCAGGCTGCCATTTATTCATAAATAAGGCCCATTGAGTTGAATGCGACTTATGCGTCACTAACTCCCAAGTGAGCCTACAGGATTACAGCCTTGGTGAATGTGATTATTCCTGGATTCATTTATTGGAGTAGCTACTACACATTAAAGCTGTGATCCTATGTACCCTTATCCTGGGACTAAGTCACATAAGGCCAAATCAATAATATAGTCTTAGGCTGTGTACACAATTCTGTTTACTATGAATCCAGTGTGTTCCCGCTTCTAGTTTGGAAAGTGGTATACCCACGATGTTAGCCATATATATCCTGCCATTGCTTATGAAGTACATTGTTTTGATGCATCTCTTCCCCCCTCAAAAAGCCCCAGCTTTGATCCAGATTGGGAAAAAGAAGGACCTAGCTATGTTTTAAGCTGGTACTGTGTACGCAATCTTTATTGTCTTGGCTCCCTTCCTAATTTCAAAGAGAATAAGATCTTTTATAGGTGATTATAAACAGTGGGACGCGGGTGGCGCTGTGGGTAAAACCTCAGCGCCTAGGACTTGCCGATCGTATGGTCGGCGGTTCGAATCCCCGCGGCGGAGTGAGCTCCCGTCGTTTGGTCCCAGCTCCTGCCCACCTAGCAGTTCGAAAGCACCCTTACGTGCAAGTAGATAAATAGGTACCGCTTTGTAGCGGGAAGGTAAACTGCGATTCCATGTGCTGCGCTGGTGCAGGCTCGCCAGAGCAGCTTCGTCACGCTGGCCACGTGACCTGGAAGTGTCTTCGGACAGTGCTGGCCCCCGGCCTCTTAAGTGAGATGGGCGCGCAACCCCAGAGTCGGTCACGACTGGCCCGTACGGGCAGGGGTACCTTTACCTTTACCTTATAAACAGATATCCCTGAAGAAAATGTGTCAGCCATTATGTTTGCACACATGCGATATAATTCTGCCCCAGCCACTACACACATTCCCCACTGTAGACATAGAACTCTGTGGGTTATGCTGAACACATCCATTCACAGATGAGCAGCGCACCTAGGTTGTACCAAATGCCCCTTGTTCCAAAGCATTAGATCCCATTCAAAGTCTGTATACAGGTCACTGCTGCTCCCTGAGCTGCCTGGCTTTCAACAACAGCTACCACACCTTACGGCTATAGTGGCACAACATTGTGTGCTAATTCTCCCTAGCCCCTTGCGCGGAACTACAGTTCCCTGCTGGGAAGGCACCAGTAGTTAAGCCAGATTCAAAGAGTTTTCTAGTGCGGGCGCAGACAGACCAGGCAGCAAGGGTCCTGCAGGGCCAAGAGGCTTATCAGCTCACCCCTCCAAGAGCTGGAGCTCCTCATGGCAGCCTTTGTGCTGGAGCTGCTGGGCGAGTAGCTGCTGGGCTGGCTGAGGGCTCGGCTGAAGTGCTCGTCCACCACAGCACTGATGTCCCCTTGGAAATAGGTGAACAAGACGCATCTGGAATTGATGACTTCGGCCTCTGGGGGGCGCTCTTTCTCCGGGCTGCACTCTTCCTCTTTGATGCTGGCAGGGGCAGTGTGGCTGGAGAAGGAGCTGCTGGCACTGCTGCCGCTTGTGCTGGCGCTCTCCGCGGCTTCCTGCATCTTCGAGTAAAAGGCTAGTTTCTGTGGAAGAGAGCAAAATGCAATCAAGGTCCGTGCACACATGCCTGCCCATCGGAAATGTGCCAATGGCTCCCCTGCCAAACAGTTGCATTTCGAGGGCAATGAGGCAGCAGGAAAGTTCTGCCTCTCAACCCCAGTTTTTGTGTATAAATAAATGAAATGCAACAATCCCCAGTCTTTTCTACAAACCCATGTAGGAGCCCCTCTCTGTGCACCAGAAGGGAATGAGGTCTGGAGGAGGAAAACATGCATACATTGGACTGGTGGACTGATAGACATACATAACTTTAAAAAGTGTGTGTAATGAAATTCAGAGCCAGTGTGGTGTAGTGCTTAGAGGGTTGGACTAGGACTTGAGAAACCAGGACTCAAATCTCCACTCAGCCAGGAAGCTCCCTGAGCCAGTCACAGTCTCTTAGCTGCTAATCTACCTCACAGGGTTGTTGGGAGAAGAATACAGTGGTACCTCAGGTTAAGTACTTAATTCGTTCCGGAGGTCCGTTCTTAACCTGAAACTGTTCTTAAATTGAAGCACCACTTTAGCTAATGGGGCCTCCTGCTGCTGCTGTGCTGCCGGGGCACGTTTTCTGTTCTCATCCTGAAGCAAAGTTCTTAACCCAAGGTACTATTTCTGGGTTAGCGGAGTCTGTAACCTGAAGCGTCTGTAACCTGAAGTGTATGTAACCCGAGGTACCACTGTATTGAGAAAGAGAGAAACCATGCATGCCATAACAAACAAACAAATACAATTAAGCACTCTGATCAATGACTGGTGGTATGATTTATTGTTATTCCAGACTGAAAGTTTCTTTGGCTACAAAAACTCTCATTGCTATTGCTTTGCCAAAGGGCTGCTGGGCTATTTAAAAAAATTAAAAAGCTGGGGATGGGACGGGAGACCAACACTCTACACGTCTAAACTGTCTGCAGGCGTCTGACCTACTCTGGCTCTTTTATACGCTCAGGTGGAGGCCTGGTGAAGAAGGGGTGGGTAGAAGGGACATGTGAACACAACACTCAAAATGCACGGATTCCTGCGAAGGTTTGCCTCCAAGCTTTGCCTTTCATCAGTAGGCAGATTTGGGACACTGTGGTTTGCGCCTCAGTCAGGTTTTACAATCTCCCGATCCACAAACCTTTCAGGCAAGAGAATTTGGAAGGGCTTTGCTCCAACGGTTCTGGCTGAAGGAGCTGCTGGATCACAGCAAGCTGCCCCGTCCCTTTCTCTGGAGGGAAAAAGCTCTCTCTTCCTACTCAAAGCGTACACTTTGAATCGAAGCAAACTGACCCAGTTCCCTGGGCTTGGAGGGCTGCGGCCAGCGGAGAGCAGCAAGAAGCAACGCGCTCCGGGTTTCTCTGTTTGGCTAGCGCGCTTCGCTCGCAGCACGCAGCGCCGGCGGAAAATTTGGCGACGAGCCTGGCTAGTGGAGGCCGACGCGCCGCTGAGGAGGACCCTCGGAAAGCAGCCGCGCAGGCCGGACAGAAGCGAAGGCGCCGCTCCTGCTAGCTCCGATCCGTATTTTGCAAGAGAAGCGGGAGAACAAAAGCAAGACCAGGGTGGAAATGGACCAGGCAACGGCCGACGTCCGCAGGCAGGAGAGAAGACGTCCGCGGCATCCAAACTAGCCCGAGACAGCTGGAGCAGGCGGATGATCCCATTCCTTCTTAAAGATAAGAGGTGACACCAAGTGTCCAAATTCAAGGGAAAACACCAGGAGGAATCGTAAAATAAAACAACAACAACCACAAACTACCTCGCGCATGAAAGCGCTGAGCTTTAACAATGTCCGAATGGGACACAATGCGAATCGAAATCCAGAAGATGTTCGTGTACTTTGGTTTCTTAAACAAAATAAAACTATGGCAACAGCAAAAAGCCCTGTTGATTCTAAGAGACCGGAATGGCAGGCCAGAGATCGCCCTGAACCTGGTTTTTCGCGTGAAATTACTCTCAGTGAAGGGTCCCCGGAGCGCCAACACTATCAAAACCAAAAGAAGGAAAACTAAAAACCTGAGAAACGGCGAGTCCCACGAAGTGGGAGCGAGGAAGATGTTGTTTTAAACATGTGGTCTACACTGGGAAGACTATTTTCTGAGCTTAGTGCTGGTAGGAGCAAGAGGCGGCGGGAAAGCCACGCAACTGGCAGGACTCGAACTCGGTTTGGGAAGAACAGCGCCGCTTGGCACGGGGAGAGAGAGAGAGGCATTTCCGACGGGACCAGATTATTTTTCACTGGGTTCTTTGAGAGAGAGATCGAGAGAGAGAGAGAGAGAGAGAGATCTCGAAGGCCTGCTTAATGTTCTCCACGTTTGCTTTGCCGCGGTTAGCGTGTCTGCAGCTGCTGCTGCTGTTGCCGCCGCCTCCGTCAAGGGCCATCAAAATGCAAAATGAATAATTGAATTCGGACACAGCGCAAAAGTCCTGGAGGGAGAGTAAGAAGACGTTGGAGGGGGCGGGAGGCGAAGCAGCCAGGCTCGCCGCTCTCTGGATTTCTGCGATTTAATTATGCTACGCCTTGCCATCTCAGGAGCAAAGAGGCTTTAAAAGGGGGATAGACGCATTCGCGGAGCAGTCAGTCAGTGGCTACTGGCCACAAGGGCTACTTGCACGGCCAGAGGTCTGTTCTGCCTGCGAATAATACGAGTCTTGGGGGGGACGGGACAGCAGGAGGAGGGAAGGACTCCTGCCCTCCTGGCCTGCTTGGGGCCTTCGCAGAGGATCTGGTTGGGCACGGTGCTACATAGGGCGGTGGGCCGGATCCAGCAGGACTCTCCTTATGCTGGAGCGATTTGGGAGCGTATTCTGACCCACGCCTGCCTCAGTCCCTGCGCTGACCGGCCTTCCACTCCAAGCAGCAGATATTGGAGGGAGGGACCGGCACCCAGAAAGCCCAGCAAATTATTTTTCATTCGCTCCATTTTCACCACCACGGAGGGCCCTGAGAGCGGCATCTCCCGCTCCTCACTCTGCCGAAAGACTGACAAACCAAACGGGACTCTTCCCCTGCTGAGTGATCTTCCCATTTCCACGAGCTGCACCTCCTCGCCTGGAATGCACAATTGTAAGTTCCTCGGGGCAGGAAGCTTTCCTTCTCTTTGCTTCGTTACTGTGGCAAAGCATCAGGCGCATCGGCTTGGACAAGTCACTCCTGTCCGTCTCCCCAGACGGGTCATCAGAAATGTCCCATTTTTAATACAGTCTCGGGGAAAGAAAATTAGGTACCGCGATCTCCAAATCCTACTAATAATCAAGGTGCTTCAGAAGCCAGGTGCCGCCACAGCACGGAGTCGGCATAGGGAACTGGGCCCTTTCTCAAGGGACCCTATTCTGACCGGCCTTGCAGAACTATCTGAGAAGGAGCCTGACAAATTAAGAATTACAAGCATTATTCTCCATACATCGGTGGGAAGAGGAAAGAATAGCAAGGGCTACGCTTGGGACGTTATCTCGGAAGGAAGGAAGCAACTCGTGGAACTATTACCTGACATTCATTCGTTTTATGGAGGAACCTGAATCGACGGGGCAGACGTTCCTAAGGATTTCAAAGTGAACTAAATTGACTTAGCCGCCGGCTGCGTCCTGCAGAGCCTAACTTCGCGTTATCAACCACATTTATTTGGAAGCAAACGGCTAGGATTGTTGGGCCTGTTCCGTTTAAGACGGTCATGAAATACAGAAAGAGTGTCGGACTCAATGCCGCCTGCTATCTCTTCCTTTAATGCTGAGCTTCAGTTTTCCTTGCAAACTGAATTTCTATTCCGCCCGACACAATGAAACACTTTTGAATTTCTTTTGCTGTCCAAGACGGGCTTTAAATGGAAGGCAATATTTCCGCATTTTGTCAGGTTTTTTTTCACTTAATGATATCTTATTTTTATCTGAACTCTTCAAGAACCAGAATTTATTTCTAGCAAAACAAACAAAAAACCCCCAAAACAACAACAACAATCCACTCACATTTGTTAGAGGCACGTTAGCTACCGACGCAATACAATTCAGATTTCCTTGATTCAAGGAAGGTTGCTCTAGCGACGGAAATGAAAACGAATTGCTTCTCTTATTTGCAACAACGAACGGAGGGGCAAGTGAAGGCGCCGGTCTCGGATTTATCGCCGCGCCTTTTGCATGCAAACGAACAGGGCTGAAACATTTTGCTACTTCCGAGTCCAGAGTTCTGAACTTTCTTACAAAAAGCTGCAGAACGCGTCCCGCCGCCTTAGCTTAGGAAATTAACCGGAAAAAAGATAAAAGCTCACTGAAAATTGCAATGGCCAGAGAGAACGAAATTGCAGGAAGCGATTCTCACAGGTTTCTAAAAATAAAATAATCATTTGGGATAGTTTGCATTTATACAACGTATTCCGAGTCCAAAGCAATCCACGCTGTTAGCTTACGACATCCTCGCAAGGAAGGCCAGCGTTACTGCACATACGGCTGCGAAGAACGAGGTAAAAATGGAATTCCAAAAGCCACCTCTGGAATTAGTGGCTGAACTATTGTTCCAACTCCTGTTACAATCTCATTAACACTTCTAACCATTACAGTCGTTCTCCCATTCCTGAAAACAAGTTTAAATACCTTTGGTGTCCATGGGTAATATAGTTTTAATTCCAATTGGCGGGCAGGCTGAGCTCGCTGCGAAACATCCCCACCCGCCATCTCGAGAGCACTTCCTATTCCGAACATGAACACGTTTGCAAAGAAAACTAAAATAAAATCACCACAAGCCTGACTAAAACGGAACCATTTGCTAATTCAATTCCCCCAGAAGTCGAGGGGACCGCGGTCCATTTGCGTTTCAGCTCAATAATTTTCTGACGGTAAGAGCTGTTCGACAGTGGAACGGGCGGCCACGAGAGGTGGTGGATTCTCCTTCATTGGAAAGGCTTTAAGCAGAGGTTGGATGGCCACCTGTCATGTATGACCTAAACTGAGATTCCTGCACTGCAAGGGGTTGGACTAGATGACCCTGGCGCTCCATTGAGACTCTCAACTCTACAATTCTATTATTCATCCAGGGAATACGAGTGGGGCGGGAAATGGAGCGATACAAGAAGTTGAGCCCCAGGATTCCATTCACCTCCGCCCCCCGATTCCTCCGGCTGCGCTCATAAGTCACCCGCGACGCATTATTGTGCCAAGCTCGAGCTAGAATTATAGAACTGGAGGGGACCCCGAGGATCATCTAGTCCAGCCCCTGCAATGCAGAAATCTTTCGGCCAATGTGGGGCTCGAACTCACGAGCCTGAGATTAAGAGTCTCATGCTCTACCAACTGAGCCATGCCAGAGTATATGCCAGGCCAGTGGCACCTCCTCGACGGCGCCCGGGGCTTCCCCGCCTCCCCCACCCACCCTCCGCCCCGGCGACTTACCTGGTGGTAAGGGCTATAGGCGGCTGCGAAGTACGGCTGGGGAGGACCATAGACTTGGTACATCACATCCAGGCAGCTCATGGCGAAAGGCAGCCGCGACTCCGGCAGCGGAGCGTCAATTCCGGCCCGGCGGCTGCATAGGGGGTTTTTCCGATCGGGCCGCCCGCCCCTCGAGCAAGGAAGGGGCGGGGAAGGAAGCTCGCGGGAGGAAGGGAGCCTGGCCCTGCCCCGCCGCTGTCAGCCAGCGCAGCGCCAGTCCACGCGCCCACGAGGAACAGGCGCGGCGGGCGCCAGCCGGGAAGCATTTAAACCGCACGCTCGGCGTCAGGCGGGGGCGGGGCGGCCGCGGGCCAATGGGAAAGCGCCCAGCGCGCACGCGCGCCCCTCTGCCCGCTTGCTCTGTGACAGGCCTCCCTCGAGCCGCCGCCGCTGCCGGGACAGACGTCGCGCCTTTTCCTGTGCCGGGGGTGGGGGCACCTGGTGCGTTCGGAGCCCATCGCCAGAGCGACGGTAGATCCCGCCCCTCCGTGCACGTGCTTTGCATTGTGTGTGCGGTGGGGGGAACCCCGGGGAGGCTGCAGGCAAGCAGGTAATATAGGCAGGAAGAAGGACGATTGATGCCGCGGAGGAAAAACTGGTGCAAATGTTGTTTGTTTCTTCAGACCGAAAGGTCCACAGAGCGCATCACGTGCAGTCAAAGCAGGCATTCCCTAACTTGCAGTCTAAAAAAGTAATAAAAATAATAAACGCATATATAAAAGCAGACTATGAGGAGGGAATGCGGCCAGGACGCAGGAATCGATTAATAAAACTCTGCAATTCTGATTCTTTAAGCTGCATGTACTAGAGCAGAGTATTTGAGAGAAAGCAACGAACACGAGCTGAATATCTGGAGGATTCCGTTCAGCGGCAAGATTTGCCTCCTGGGGGGAATATTGCTTCCTTCCACACCACATCTCTGCTGTGGTAGAGACTCATTCATTATATTTAGTCGTTTAGTCGTGTCCGACTCTTCGCGACCCCATAGACCAGAGCACGCCAGGCACTCCTGTCTTCCACCGCCTCCTGCAGTGGTAGCTTCGAGAACACTGTCCAACCATCTCGTCCTCTGTCGTCCCCTTCTCCTTGTGCCCAGGGCAGTGAATAGCTGCTACTTCTGCTTGCCATCTGCCCCAGGTGGGTGAGCGAGCAGCAACTTGCTGCTAGGAGTAGCAGCAGACATTGTGTGTGTGAGAGAGAGAGGTGTACAGGTAGCATCGGGGATGGATGCTCCTTGTTAGGGATGGAGGAGAAATTCAATACGGTATGCATTTAAAGCCAAATCTATCAGATTCACACTTTCTGAAACAGTATTTCTTTATTTAGAGCATTTGCACCGTGCTGTTCAGCCAAAAAGGCTCCCAAAGTGGCTTACATGCTATGGAAACAAGACAGTCCCTACCCACAGACCTACAATCTAACCCCCCCCCCAAAGCACAGCTATCCTGCACAATTTGCACTTATCCAAATTTTGCAATGCAGTTCTCCAGTCAAAAATGTATATGTTTACAAAAATTTATATGTTGTAAGTGTGCTTAAAATGAATACTGTATATTAGGGAAAATAACGTACAAAATTGCATTGGATCAGTGAAAATTGCTTGCAAAAATGTGTACATGGGTCAAAACTGCATATGACCATGTGTTCAATAAGAGAAGTTCACACAAAAATGCTGATGTGATGAATTTTATTTTTTTTATAAATAATTTTTATTATTTTCCAACACAAATATACAATTCTATCAAATTTTCACAAATTTGTTTCTTTTTAGACTTCCTTCGGCTTCTCTGACAATCATCCATATTTACCTCTCAGTTTACGCATTCCTCTGTTTATATTGCCATTAAACTTCCCTCCCACTCCTATTTCTTTTTAACAATATATCTCAACTTTCACAGTGCTTCTTGAAATCCCACCAGTGTTGTTTGCACATCGCATGTTCTTTTCAGATACTCAACAAATTTCCCCCAGTCCTCGATGAACTTTTGGTCTCGAAGATATCTAATTTTCCCGGTTAATCTGTCCAATTCTGCATAGTCAGTCAGTTTCAGTCTCCATTCTTCTATTGTCGGTGTTTCCTCTTTTTTCCATTTCTGGGCCAGTAGAATTCTTGCTGCTGTGGCTGCATATTGAAAAAGTTTACAGTCTTTTCTTCTGATTTCATTCCCTATAATTCCTAAAAGAAAGGTCTCTGGTTTCTTTACAAATGTATATTTTAACATCTTTTTCATTTCGTTATAGATCATCTCCCAGAAGCCCTTCACTTTCTTACATTCCCACCACATATGATAAAACGTACCTTCTTTTTCTTTACATTTCCAACATTTGTTACACATCTTATATATTTTTGATAATTTTACCGGTGTAATATACCATCTGTAAAACATTTTCATAACATTTTCTTTAAGTACTGTACATGCAGTAAATCTTAAATTCTCTTTCCACAGTTTTTCCCAGTCCTCAAACTGAATATTATAACCAAAATCTCTAGCCCATTGTATCATTACGGATTTAACTTCTTTGGTATTCCATTCCAACAATATTTTATACATTTTTGACAAAATTTTACAATTATTGTTTATCACGTCTGTCTGGAACTTTGAATCTTTTTCTACATAACCACTTTCTTTAATGTCTTTTTTAAACATTTCATTAACCTGGAAATAGTGCAACCAATCATATACATATTCTTTGACTTGTTCATATGGTTTTAATTTCCATTTTCCTCCTTCTTTGATTATCAATTCACCATATGTAATCCAATTACCTCTCATATTTATTTTCTTTACACTCATAACCTCTAATGGAGACAATCAGTGTGGAACTTTCGGTTTTAATAGGTTTTTATACCTATCCCATATTTCAATTAATGACCTCTGAAATATGTGGTTCCCAAAGCCTTTATGGATTTTCTTCTTTTCACACCATAAATACGCGTGCCATCCAAATCTGTTATCAAATCCTTCTAAGTCTAATAGTTCTTTATTCTCTAATTTTATCCACTCTCTCAACCAGCAAAGCCATGCTGCTTCATAATATAGTTTCAAGTCTGGCAGGGCGAAGCCTCCTCTTTCCTTTGCATCCGTTAATAATTTAAATTTAATTCTCGGCTTCTTGCCCTGCCAGATATACCTTGAAAGCACTCTTTGCCACTCTCTAAAGATTGCTACCCCCTTTAATATGGGGATAGTCTGAAATAGAAATAACATCTTTGGAAGGACACCCATCTTTATCGTAGATATTCTACCCCAAAAAGATAATTTCATTCTTCCCCACACCTCTAAGTCTCTCTTTATTCTGTTCCAAACCGGTATATAGTTATTCTGAAACAAGTCAATATTCTTAGGAGTTAACCAAATTCCTAAGTATTTAACCTTTTTCACCACCTCTATCTCTGTCCTTTGTTGCATTATTTCTATTATACTTTGATCCATATTTTTTGTAATTATTTTGGTTTTCTTCTTGTTTAATCTGAACCCTGCCACACTTCCAAATTTCTCAATCTCATCCAAAACTTCTTTTACACTTTCTAAAGGTTCTTCAATCGTAATTACCAGATCATCAGCAAAGGCTTTTACTTTATATTCATTCTGGCCAACTGTTACCCCTTTTATTAGTTCATTTTGTCTCATTGACCTCAGGAAAACCTCTCGGACCATTATAAATAGTAATGGCGAAAGTGGACACCCCTGTCTAGTTCCTTTTGTTATTTTTATATCGTCTGTGGTTACATTATTTACAATTAACTTTGCTTTCTGCTCTGTATAAATTGCCTTTATCCCATTAAAGAACTCAGCTCCCACATCCATAAACTCCAGGTTCTTCAACATAAAGTCCCAAGCAATATTATCAAATGCCTTTTCTGCATCAACAAACATTAATATAGCTTGCTTCTCATTCCTTGCAGTCAGATATTCCAAAATATTAATTACATTTCTTATATTATCTTTTATCAGCCTGCCTGGAAGGAAACCTGCTTGATCTTCATGAATAGTTTCTTTCAGTATTTTGTGATGAATTTTCATGAGGATTAAAAGAAACAAACTCACAGATTTCTGCAAAATGTGGAGAACGGAACTGGAAAAATGAGAAATGGAAAGAACCAAAATTGACAAAATTCTTCTATCCCTACTCCTTGCAACCAGTGACCCTTGTAGTGGCTGGCAAAGAATAGCAGCCATGACCACTGATTGCCCTGTCTCTGTAAGCAGCTGTGCTGGCAGCAGCAGCTGGTACTCTTAACAGGCATTTCCACTCACTTGCATGGCCATGACTGGTGATGGCAGCAGCTGCCACCACCTGCCATCTAACTAGGAGGAGGGGGAGGAAAAGGAACAGCTATTCACCTACAAACCCACTGGACTGCATTTTGCCAAGGATACCCCTGACTGACACTGCAGCCAGTGCTGGATTTATGTATAGGCTAAGTAGGCTGAAGCCTAGGGTCTCTTAATCTAGGGGGCCTCACCAGCCCTCATGCTCCCCAGCGGGCAGTCTCCCCTCTCCCAAAATTGTAAACCCAAGACTTCATGCAAGGGCAGGGCAACTCAGGCCCAGCAACTATTAGACTCGGCTGGCCAGTGGGGCCCAATTTGAAGCAGTGGGGTGCAACTTGAATTTTTTTTTTTTTTTTGGGTAGGGTCCCAGTTCACAGCCAAAGTCTGCAAAATATTATAGATATAAATAAAATCCATCTAGATTGCCCTGGTGCGGGGGCCCCCTTAGGAGCGGCCCGTGGGGCCCAATTTGGCCCAATTGCTCCAATTGCCTTAAGGTCAGTCCTGATGAGACTGTGCAGGGGTTGGACTGATAAGCTCTGCACCTTCTAGGTCCCTGGTATCACCATTCAGAGTACAGACTCAAGGACTTGTTAGGGAAATAAAGGGGGGCACTTATTGGAAATCAGCTTTGTCACCTCTTCCCCCCCAAACTCCCAGACAATGAGCCCAGCCACCTTTTATTCACAGTCACATAAGCACTACACTTCAGCATGGCCATAAACTTGTATGTTCAACCGCTGAAATATACACCCAATATGTAGCCATGGAGATTTATCATCTTTTTCCGAGTATAAGACTAGGTCTTTTCCCCTAAAAAATAATGTCAAAAATAAGGGGGCATCTTTTATACCGGTAGTGCCAAGGGTGGACTGGCGATTGGTTGTTGCTACAAAAATAGGGGGCGTCTTATAGATGGAAAAAAATATGGCATGTTACTGCTTTATGAATGAATATTGTGCTTTA